ACCCAAATCAGCTGCAGCTTTAGCTGCTTTACTTAGAGCACCAGACATCCAAAGAGCTCCTTTGGAAAAGTAGCTACTGTTAACAACAGCACTTGCAGCAGAGACAGCAGTTCTACCTGTAGCTGACACAGCTGATCTGGTGGTATCCGATATGTGATACCTCTGATCCACAGATCTGGCCACTTCAACCCCGGCACAAAACTTGTCGGTGAGGCCAATTCTCTCACTCAAATCAGCAACCTTGGAGACTGCAGTTGCTGACAGCGCATGAGATTCGTCAAAAGCTTTGGCTTTCCCTAATGCACCTTTTCCAAGAACATACCCTTTAGATAGCATGGTTTTAACCACATCTTGAGCCAACGTCACAGCTTCCCCAGCAGAAGAAACAAAATACTGTCCCTGGGGGTCCTGCTGGAATTATAAATCCACTCATTAGAAATACACACCTCATTCATAGAGAAACGAGTACCATACAGATAGGAAAGAAGGAGGCAAGAACATACACTTGAACGACTTTCCTCTTGAGGTCTCCATGATGAATGATCCCAATAAGCAAATTCATCTTGGTAGTGACCCCAGCTGGTTATGCACACACGTTGATCCAAAATGGTAGCCCCCTGAGAGAAGTTAGTTATAAATGAGAACCATTCAATCAAAATATACGTCTTAAGGAAAAAATTAGTTTGGTGCAAAAAATAAAAAATTACATCTATCAGCAATAAATTATATTTATATATAACTGAATCTAAGTGCACAGAGATGTACACAGAATCAAAATAATACCAAGGGGTTCATTGCTTGGATTTTGAGACCAAGCAAATTCATGAGAAGCATTACAGGAGAATAGGACATCCAATTACGGCAAAGAAGATGAGCATTTTGACCAACTATAACTGGAGATAAAATAAAACAATACCTTGCCGAGCAACACCAACATTACTTTAAGCTCTATGAAAACAGCTCGAGGAAAAAAGAAAGGCTTTGCATTGTTGTGACAAATGGAAGGGTTTCAAGTTATTGGTCCAACAATATTTATATTGGAACTCAAACATCAATATTGAGGTCTTGCCCTCACTCTCAAAGCACATACCATTTTGTTTAAGTCAAGTAGATGAACTATTTTACATTCAAACACACAAGTAAAAAAAAAATAGGAAAGTGACACATAATCCATTCAGTTAACACCACATGGAACCAGAATTAGCAACTGTCAAATTGTAGACAGAATGCAATTCTATGCTGCTTATTCAGAGACCTAAACCTTACTATACAACTAAACCAATACACCATCTGAAGGAACTTACACTCAGTAAGACAGCTGTTTCCAAGGCATGAGGATTTCTAAATGTCACATAGGCTGTACTTGCATGCTCACCAGCTCTGCATTCTCAACCACAAGCATACACTCAATCAGCGACCAAAATTTTTTATACAGTAACTGATGGAAAAAGCAGGAATGAAATACATGCTGTGTGTTATGAGACCAACTTGGCATAAAGTTCCTCCATTACATGATTGATTTTCACAAAAATAACAACTAAAGTAGTAATATTGAAGCCTAATGTGATTTGTAAGCAGTTTGGCTGACTAAAAGCTCTTGTGATGCTATAAGACTTCAGTGGTGCTGCACATTTCTTCAAATTACAATAAAAATAGGTATCAACAACTAAAAGGCTGTGCAAACACTACTCTACACGCATATCGTACTTTGGAAGGGTAAAAGGAAAGTAAAAAATAAGTACCATAAGTGAAATTTTTCCTACTTTTCATTTGCTAAAGGACATAGCGACAATACTGGATTCTCAGAACAAACAATGAGACATAAAGATATAGTTTTGCCAAATAATCAACTAATTATGTCACAGACAAGACCAGATTATAAACAGATATAGATGCATATTCCTGAACACCAAATCCCCTTTGTTTTGCTCAACCTACATATGGCATACTTGCTCTATCCTGATACAAACATTTCAGAAGAATCAAAAGCTTTCAAGATTAGAAAAGAAAACAAGATAATAACCCAAGAAACAATAGTGGCTACAAAACTTGTTTATCGTACATATATCAAGCTGTGTATTAGAAAAGATGACAAAAGATGATCTTACATTGTACGTACAATACAATTAAGGGGTCGGTTTGAACTTTGAGGAATTTGAAGAAATTGAAACAAAAGAAAAACAAAGCAAGATAAATTTGTGAGTTAAAATATATAGCTCTACTCATAATTTCCCTTCCAATTCGTTTCTTTTCATCCTAAACCATCGACACGGAAATATAGAGTATGAGTGATAAAATTGTAAATGCACTCCCAGATATTAAACACACCTGACAATCTCAACATGTTCAATTGCCCCACAGAAACCAAAGAAATCATGAACATCCTTTTCAGTAGTATTAGGGGAAAGACCTGTAACTTCTGCTGTATAACCCCCTGGATTCATATCTGCTGATTTAACTCTGCTTTACTGAGAGCAAAGAAATTAGGCATCAGATAAACTGAACTTTATACAAGTTAGGCCATCAGATATACCGTACCCACCTATCAGGCCCAAATATTATTTGTGATATATGCACAATACGAAAATAACCATAAGCATCAGCAAAAAAAAGCAAATACTCATAACATTCACACATCTCCTAAAGAAGCTCGCTAAACTAATAATCTACAGAAGAAGAAATCACATCCTAGACAGCTGTTTGTTTTTATTGCACCACCATGCATACTCATCAAAAGAGAACAGAAACCTAGGATTTTCCTGATAAAGATGTCATTATTACATGCAAGTTAAGATTTTACAACGTCCATCGAATAGCACAAACCCAATACTATACACACACACACACATAATTTTTCTTTTTACAACCGAAAAATCCCCGAGGACAGGTGACGCACGGCTTCTCCACTTAAATACCATGCTTTTGTTCGAACCAGTGATGTGCGCCTAATCTACACATCATGCGTTGCCTCTTACTACTAGACCAACACCCCGGGGGACAAACCATAGAAGTTGGAAAAAGAGGGGGAAATCATTTCTGAGATCCAATTAAGGGCACTATTACCAAATCCCCAACTTCAATGCTTATAAACATATCCAACTGACTAAAGAGAAAACAATGGTACTACGGCCAAGCAGCCCAAAAATAGCCCAAATGGAGAAAGTACAACAGATCCAACAAATTGATTAAAAAAAAGAGTACCCAATCTAGCTATCAATAAATCGACTTAAAGCAGGTTCAAGAAAACAAACAAACCATCCCCTCCCTTACCTCGCC